TTACTTTAACATAAAATACATCAATCAGAGGAAACAGTGACTACAGTGAGTGGTTGAAGATATTTACATTGTTTGTTGTGTTCTTCTAGAGATCTCTGCACTTGCCCACTACACTCACTGCTCTGATGGGTGCTCCAGTCAGCTCATTTGGCTCATCAAGACAATACTCAATTACTTTCATGGAAAAGTTACTGCCTATGCACAGTAAAAGGAGAATGGCTGATTCAAGTTCCACCTGGTAGCCATCTTCCTCCCTTGTTAGCATAACATTTAATGCTTTCACAATCTCTGCTTTTGTGATGACAGAAACCACTATTTATTGTGCTCCCAGCAGCTTTTACTGTAACCTGTACAAGGAGCTAGGCAGGTTCTATGAGCTAACCGTTTGACAGAGAGCTCCCAGAATGCCTCCAGCTGCCAACCAGCCTAGGGTCTACTCACCAGCTGTATGGTCACTGTCCCTCCGCACTATATTAGCAGAGAAACTGGTTAGGAGTTTTCTGATTGAACAGACAAGAGTTTATTATTAAAAGAGAAGTTCAAATAAGGCCTCTTCTTGCTTACTAGCAACCAGTTTGTGAGAAAAGAGCATGCTTGGACATCCAGGAATCCCAAAGGTATGGATGACCCAACTACTATGTACAGATTTTTCATTACACAGAATTTTCCCACAAGGCAGACACTTTTTTTCACCATCTCTTCTCACTTTTTTAATGTATCTACAATTATGTTATGCTTGTACTACAACCATCCTCATGTTACATGGAAGAAATAGACAGCAGGCTTGCCAGCTGGTACTGTACTGGTAGTGTACTTTAAACAGTACACTAGGGAACAGTGATAATAGTTTGCAATTAAGTAAGGGAGGTCAGGTTGGTAAGAAATGAGACAAGGTAATAGGAGAAAGAGAGCCCTTGGGAAGGATGAAATAGATATAAAGAAGCAATCTCAAATGCCCATACGCAAGCCAGACAAACAAACTGAAGCAACAAGACTCCACATCTATGACATCACTTGAATCACTGAAACATTATGAGATGAGATCAGTCATACCAGCAGAATTCTGGGATGTTTGGTTGGCTGGGTGGATGGACAGACAAACACTGTCAAAAGAAATATTAAACCATTGCCCAGGAACTCGTGGATGATTTTGGGAAAGCCAAAGTTGAAACGTGGTGGGAGGCATCAGGGACAACAAAAGCTTCTACTGCTACATTAGTATTAACAGAATACACAAATATGGGCCTGCTGCTGAATGAGATGGGTAGGCACAGATACGGCTAAAATACTCAAGGCTTCCTTTGCCTCAGTCATCACCAGAAAGGTCTCTCAGGCCACTATGTCTATAGGCAGGAACAAAGGGGAAGAGCCTTCCCCATGGGAGAGGATTGAGGCAAGTATTTCTTGAGGAACTTTGTCTCATCCGATGTGATCAGATCCCACACACTCTGTCAGGTGAGGCTGAGATTGCTTAGCCTGGAAAAGGCTTTAGGGTGCACCCAATAGCAGCTTTCCAGTGCATACAAGGACATTGAAACAGGGACAAAGATCACTAGAAGGATAATGAAATACTGGAACATTGGTTGAGAGAAATTAGGGAGCCTTGGTCCTTGGAAAATGTTCAAGAATTGACGTGAGAAAGCCCTGGAAACCTGGTCCGAATTCCACATCGACCCACTTTGAGCAGAAGACCAGGATAGAGATCTTCCAAGGTCCCTTCCAGCCTGGATGGTTTTATGAATTATCACAGAGAGTTTAAAGTGAGTTGCCAGATACCCATCAGAATGTGGAGGGAAAAGTAATGGGCTCGGTTATTTGCCAAGACTTCACTTTACTTTTTCCCTTCCTGATTAGCCAGCACATCAAAGTCATACAATGTTTTTACAAAATACATGCGCACTATTGCATCCAGGAACACTCTCTAATTCCCAGGTGTGAATCCAGAACCATACCACATCCTGACTGTATCTGGAGCTCTCATGTCACCCTTGTGAGACTGGAAATTAGCAGTTCTCCTTGCCCTGACTGCACCTTGCACATCACAAAAACAATCTCACGTACGCCTCTTGGAAAGCCGATCTGATACAATAGATGGTAAACTGAACAGTCAGCAGCTTAAACACCCATGAACCTGCCATGGTGTGAATTTAAATCAAGATACAATTCCTGTATTGCTTTCCTGATTTAATGGAACTCCTGAGAACCTCCCCACAGCTATGACTCATAAGACTCATATGACTATGGCAAAGATTACTGCAGCAAACTTCACATAAACAAGGACCAATGACCATTTCTTCTACATATATATTCTCACTGTTGTCTTCTGGATCATTTATTTTCCATCTTTAATTTCACTTCCACTTTTTTGCATTGCTCCAGGCTAGACAATTTACCCTTACTATCTTCTAAACATTTCCCTTTGGGAGGAATATTTTTGAGCCTTTAATATTTCAGCATCAAGAAGAATGTTATTTCTTGAGCTACACACTCAGGTATTTCCTTATTCCCTCCAATTCCTAGGGCATTTTCATCCTCTCTGTAAAAGAGACCTTTGGGATTAACAACTGTATAATATCTTTCAGTTAATTGTATATACCTTAAAAGTCTTGTAAATTTAAACCTTCTAATTGGAATCAACTTGGTCTTATCAAATGGAAGATCCTTGTGACAGTGTCAGGTTTTTTTTTTTTATGGGTATAATAAATTAGAACTAATAAATATAAGGTGAGTGATACAGAAATAAATCCTCTTAATAGGAATATGGATTAATTCCTACTACTATGATCAGGTTATAAAAGAGAGAAAACAGTACTATGTAGACCATAGAAGGAGTAATCTGCAGAGAAAAAAATGATCAGATACCATCTGCCACCCCAGCAAGAAGAAAGAAACTACTTCCAGAAGCAGGGAAATGCATATCTGAGATAGAGAAAACGAATGAGAAAATGAAAACATACGGAAGGGACTGATACAGCATAGCAAAATTAACAGTGGCTATGGAAAGGTCCATGTTTTGTTTGAAACTGAAGTTTGTCATAAAGCCAAGTATTAACTTCACTAAGTAAGGAATTACTTAAACATACACTAGGAATTACTCAAAACATTTGTGGAACGATTATTACTTGCTGCCCAATCAGCTAAAGGCTTGGCTTTTTAATTTTGTGCTAAAGATTATCACATTTCATGTGTAAGAAGCAATGTTGCCAGAGAGCTGATTATTGCTTCATCTCAGGCAATACCTTCAGTGCTGATTTGAGACACAAATCCTATCTCTAAAATCAGCAATCTAAAATCTCCCTCCAGTTTCCACTCACTTTGGGATCTCAGGATCTAATCTACAGAGAAATAAATAGAAAAGACACCTTGCTTATGATCCCAGAGGAAGGACTAGCTGTAAACAAGTGGGGATTTCAGGGGTGTGTTTTAATTATTTGGTTCATTTCTTGAGAGCACTGAGGAAGGAATGAGACCATAGGCAGGAACTGTGATTGGGGAGCCTGGCAAACCGGGATGGGAAGAGATGCTGGCAAGAATCTAATGCTGTGTGCAGGGGGCTGTGCTGTGATTCAATTCAGTTCAGCAGTTTGTCAGATTGACAAACTCCCCAGATGTTGCCAAAGTGAAATGAGCCAGACCCTACAGGTACTTGTTGGGTAGGTGTAATCCAAATAAAACAGCTCAAACTGGGATCTCATGTTGATTCCAAATGCAGTACAAGCTGTCACATAGCATGGCTGCCATCTCTTCCTACAGGGCTGAGGCAGCTTTTCCTCCTGTTCCACTGTTCAGCATTTCTTGTAGCTCCTCATAATTCTAGGTAATGGGTTTTTTATTGTATATGCATCAATCTGATCTGTATCGATCACAAATGGGTGCACAAACTTCATCCCTGTCTCCTCTGGTCACAGGGTAAACTCTCATCTCCAGTTTTCATTTCACGTTTCATAACGAAGTATTAAATTGAAATTACAATAAAGATGAATCAAGTAGAATTTGATTTATACAAAGACAAAATCCAAACATAGCATTCATAGAAAGCACTATGCAGCTGTGTATAACATAGCAGGTAAGGATCTGTTCGAGTCAAAGGCTTTCTTGGTGCCCATCAGTTTGCTTCTGTGCATGCTCACAGCTGCCCCAGAACCTCCGCCCATCAGCATCCGCACACAACATCCCTCAGCTTTCATCCATAGAGGATTTCTAGGCCACGCTTCACACACACTAATGGGATTAAGCTCTTCACAAAGCACTGCTGCAATCTATTCCTGCATGGAGAGCTTTCTGCTCTCACTGCCCACTGTGTAACTGGCAGCCCTGCAGAATGAGGCAGCTCCAGCACGTGCCCTCCAGCACAGCCCCGACCAGTTGGCTCAGACAGCGCAGGCTGCCTGTCCGCCTGCCCCAGGTTGTCTGCTGGACAGAGAATTTACAATGGATTGGGGTTGGAAGAGAGCAGAAAAACCTGTGTCTATATTGTAAAGACAGTGGGCAGAATGCAGGGAGCCCTGTTCCTGTGCCAGTGATGGCATTTTCCATAAACCAGCCAGTGCAGAACTTGCAAAGCTCAGTGCCCTGTGCCAGTACAAATATTGTGCAAGACCACTGTTAGAAAAATAACTTTTTGGCAGAGATCATTCCTGCCTGGGACAGCAAAAAGAAAGATTTCCAGCTCCACAAAAGAGTGCACACACTTGTACGCTGCTTCATCACCTCTGCAATTATTCACCACACATGCTGATTTTAATCCTGCTCAAGTCAATAAAACTGCTGACACTCTAAATTTAAGTATACAAAGTAGTTTTTTGCTGGATTTCGGTTAATATTCTAAATTCATTCTTCATTCTAAATTCATTCATTCTTTTCATTCATTGTTATCTTAAGAATCAACAAAATGCAAACTCAAACATCAATTTCCATCAATTTCCATTGGAAATTCCCTGGTTTTGAAGGTGCTGTCCTTGCTAATTCCCAGGTCTTTATTTTTTTCCATCTCTGCACAGGAGAAGCACAACCCATGGCACAGCCCAGCAGCAGTTTGAATGCACCAGCACTGAGTGAGCAGAAATGACGCTGCATCTGTCTGCAGGGTTTGCTCACCTCGAGCTAGGATGACTTAGCAGAACAGCCCTGCATCCCTGCAGCACCTCAGCTCCAGCCACCAACATCCTTGCTGACTGCCTGAAAGAGCCTTGATTTGTCCCATGGTCAAACCCCAAGCCTGTGGCGAGCTGTTACAGAAATGGGCATCACTTGGGGCTCAGTCCTGATCCCTCTGCAATCTAAGCATTCACACTCCTTGGGAACAGCAGGAGCAAGATCCTTCCCTGACAAATTTCCCAGATCTCACTGAGAAAGTGGGCAAAGGAAAAAATAACACATTTTTTAAAGACTTGTAGTGCACCAAATGTGATATTTTTTTGACAGAAAGCTGTCTGTTCAGTACTGCTTGCCCTCCATACCACTCTTCCAGAGAGCAGCAATTAATTATTCATTCTTTTCTCCCTTTAAAGAAACAGTAGGCAAGATGCTGAGCTTATCAAAGTCAGCGGCAGCTCAGGGTTCTCATGGGAGAAGCAGTGCTTGCTGTGGATCACGCCTAACAGAGCACGCCTGAGCGTGTTAGCACAGCACCAGCTCAGGGCTGAAGTTCATGCGAGGAGACTGGTTGAGGTCATCAGCTGAGGAGCCACGAGTGTAACGGCGGGGCTGGAGCACATGGCTAAGCAGCAGGGCTGGCTGCTGGCTTTTACAAATGCACTGATTTTTCTCATTTTGCTTCCAGAGTTTTCCTGCAAAGCTAGCACGAACACTACAGAAACTAGGCAGTCACTAAATATGTCCGATCTTCCATGTTGCCAACACAGCAACAACGGAAACTGGGGGGAATCAGTGTTTTTAGGAGGCTCCTGGCTTTTCCTTTTCTTCCTAAGTGTGTAGAAAGAAAACAAAGGTAGGCATAGCCTCCACCTTTCCAGAATGAGCATGGAGACCATTAGCAAGGCTCTCAAGCCTGACAGCTGGCACTTGGTCACAGACATAAGTGTGGTGGCATGGTTGAACTTCACAAATTTTGGTAATGCAATGGTGCTGTGGATATTGTGAACCACGTGTTTTTACCAGGACGCACAATTGTACATCTAACTCCCTTTGAAAATCATCCTTTCAAACATACAATAGAAAAGCAATCTGTTTTGTTTGAGGTCTCTTATTCCTCCACCCATGCAAAGCTCAATCTCGCCCTATGGACACTGCAGTCACTGTTATTATGGCAGTGCAGAGGCTCTGGATAGAATCAGTCCTTGGCACCTTGGGGGATAAACAAACACAGAACTGAAGTGGTCTCAGCTCCAGAGGACTCACTTTCTATTGTTTTACTCCAGAGCAATGAGAAGTGATTAAATTACAAACTTCATTCTAGAAAAATGGCAGTAAAATCTTCACGCTATGCCATAACATCAAAAATTCTCAGCCAAACACTGCTGGAGAAACTATTTAGAAGTACTTCTGAATCCTGGAATATATTTACTGGAAATAGTTCACTCTTCTTCCTGTAAAAGCCAGATGCATTAATTAACATGAACTCTATTTGCCCAAGCTGAGCCTCAGGGCACAGTAATGAAGCAGAGAAAATTTGGTTTGAGAGGCAAAGAAAACACTCTCTACTTACTCAATTTAAAAGAAAAGGAAATCCAGCTGCTCAGATGTCTGTGGACCTTGATGTGTGGGCACTGGTTATCCAGTTTAATGTTCACATCACTACTCACTGCATGCCACAGTCCACAGCCACCCCTTAATTGGCCGTAGAGGGTTATTTCGGCTGCACATTGTGCCATGGACTCAGCCTGTATGTGCCATGGACTCAGCTCAGAGGTTACTCACACAAAGTTTATTGGCTCAGGTGCTGCACAAACAAAGTTAAGCAGTGCCAGATCAGATCTAGAAGCAGTTTATCCATTTTTATGTTATCTGGAACATAATAATATAAAATAAACTCTACTGACCCAAGCTAGTGTTGTTCACTGCATATCTGGACCCCGGGAAGATTCAGAAGTATGGCACAGGCACCTTTACTCATGGAGCCCCGTTAAACCCAGCAAGCTTTCGCTCAGGAAGGCCTGTCCTAATCCAAGCTGGTTCTAGGGAGTTGCACTCAAATATCCATGCACAATACTTAATTCATGAAAAATATTGAGCAATGGTGAAACAAAGCAAAGAAACCTGAGTGACTCTTGATGGAGAGCGCCTCAGAACTCAGCCAAAGCAGAGGAACTGTCATGGATCCACAGCAACTATGCAGAAGCAGTCAAGTATCTCAATGCTTCAGAAGCTTCAAAGGATCCTGTGGCATTTGTCCACCTGTGCAACAGCATCTTCAAGTTAACTCAGCTTCATGTTATTCTGAACAGGGAAGTGAATGATTGAACTTCTTTTACTCTTTGAAGAGCAAGCAAAAGCCTCAGCACTGCTTATCATTTTTTATTTCTTGACATATACTGTATGAGCTAAATAAAGCCATAATCATAACCTGAAGTGAGGTTAGCCTCACAAAACTGAAATTCACTTCTTCCAAAAACCAAGGCAAGAGGTCTTGCAGCACATCTGGAAGGGTAGGAATCTACCCCCAGGAGAAATACGTGCATCTCCTCCCAGAGATAAGATCCAATGTTGAGATAGAGCTCTTAGGAAAGTATAAAGAAAAACTGGCTTGCTGTAATACACACTTTGAACCACAAAATCTAATAAGTTCTTGAAGGACAGCCATCCTGAGATAAAATTCTTGTTGACCCAGGTCTTGCAGACAGACAAACATCTCTTGCTAAGCTGGAATTTAGGAAAGAGCTGCTATACCATGAACTGAACAGCAACTTCAGTAGACAGACCACCAAGCAGTATTTTAATAGAATATTAGTTTCTGTATATATATACATAAATATACCTTACATATATAATTATATATATATTGTATGTACAGAAATCCAAGAATCTGAGTATCAAACTACATATAATCTAGTGTGGCTGCCCACCGAAAAGCTCTGCCATTTCCCATAAGTAGAATCTTGCACTGGATTTAACCTTATCCTATAGCACATCTTATTTTCTTACACAGTATGGTCAGTTATTTATACAGCCTGCATAACGCAAAATTTTTAAAGATTATTTTGACTTACAAGTTAATTAGGCTTCTGCACAAGTGTTTGGATAAATTACAGGAGAGAAATACTAGTGCTTGCTTCACACTGAATATGATTTAAAGTGATGTGTCAGGATTTTCTTTTATTTGCTTTATGCAAAATAATCCACTGTTCCATGATTCCTTGTGATTAGGATAATATTTTACAAGACTATTGATGGATGCCGTTTAGCAATGAGAATAAAATTCTCAAGCCTGCTGTAATCTACTTAGATGGTACTAACACCTGAGCCAGTTGTGCACTGACCATCTCTGGAGCTTCATCCATGGTGAAAGAATGCCATTAACTATACAGAGGAAGTACTGAGGTGCTGCAGAAAGGTGTAGGGTAGGAAGCTTTAGGAAGGACAAGAGAAAACTTAGGAGACTTAGTCCTGATGAAAAGTCTCCAGGTTCCACTCTGTTCTCTTCATAGTTTCACAATTAAGGGTGCACTGAGCTGGGGGAAGACATCTGCTGCCAACTGTTAAAAGCTTCAACACCACCACGAGCACTGGCTGCACCAACCTGTGCAAACCTAAAGCACAAAGGAGACCAGCTATATCTACATATTTAAACAGAAATTATCAGTTTTAAAATATAATGCTGGCATCTAATTCATAGAATCATAGAATTCCAAGGTTGGAAAAGACCTCTGGTCCAACTATCCACGTACCACCAATATAAGCCCACAAAACCATGTCTTAATACATCTAAATGTTCCTCCAGGGAGAGTGACTCCACCACCTCACTGGGCGGCCTGTTCCAGCACTTGACTCTCTTTGTGAGAATAAATTGTTCCTAATACACAACCTGATGCAACCTGAGGCCATTACATCCCATCCTATGTTACCTGGGAGAAGAGACCAAGACACCCCTGGCCCCTCCTCTCAGGTGGTTGTGGAGAGTGATAAGGTTTCACCTGAACGTCTTCTCTAGACTGAACAATCCCAGATTCACCAATATGCTTTGGAATTATCACCAAGATAAACAGAGAATGAGGGATTGGTGCAGGCTGAGAACTAATTATCAAAAGAATCATAGAATCATAGAATCCTTAGAGTTGAAAAAGACCTTTAAAGGCCAACCCTCCTGCAATGATCAGGCACATGCACAGCCAGATCAGGTTGACCATAGCCTTATCCAACCTTGCCTTGAAAGTCTCCAGGGACAGGGCATCCATCACATCTCTGGGCAACCTGTTCCAAAGCCTCCTCACCTTCACTGTAAATGACATTTTCCTTATATGCAACCTACATCTACCCTCTTTAAGCTTGAAGCCATTTCCCCTTGTTCTATCACCACAGGCTCTGCTAAAGAGTCTGTCCTCTTCTTTCCTGTAGCTCCTCTTTAGATACTCAAAGGCCACTCTCAGGTCTTCTCCAGGCTGAACAGCCTCAGCTCTCTCAGCCTGTCCTCATAGGAGAGGTGTTCCATTCCTGGGATCATTTCTGTGAAACCTCTTCTGGATGCACTCCAACAGGTCCATGTCTCTGCTGTCCTGAGGACACCACATCTGGACACAGTACTCCAGGTGAGGTCTTGCAGAGCAGAGGGTCAGGATCACCTCCCTCACCCTGCTAGCTGTGCTGCTTCTGATACAGCCCAGGATATGGTTGGCTTTCTGGGCTGCAAGGGCACATTGCTGGCTCACGGCCAGCTTCCCATCCTCCAGTACCCTCCAGATCGTTTTCAGTAGGGCTGAACTCAATCCTTTCACTCCCCAGCTTGTATTGGTAGTGAGGGTTGCCTCGACCTCATGAAGTTCACCTGGGCCCACTGCTCAAGCCTGTCTTGGTCCCTCTGAATGGCATCCCAGAAAAAAACAAAACAAAACAAACAAACAAAAAAACAAAAAAACCCACAAAAAAAAAAAAAACCAACAAAAGAACCAGAAACTCTTCAGGTGAGATGAAAAATTCACGTGCAGAAATTTCAGTCACATCGATTTTCTGTGTAAATGCGACACGACTCTCACAGCTAGATGAAATAAATATCCAGTTTTGCAATGGTTATCAAAGTGATACAATCTAATCTCTATCTTAATTTGGCTGATCTTGTATACAATACACCAACCTGAGAACATATTTGCAGGACAGAATTCCTTCAAAAGCAGCAAGAGACTACATGACAGACTTTATGTACATATAAATATATATATATTTAAAAATATAAACTGCTAATGGATACTTCTACTACTCAATATAATTTCTTATCAGAAATCCTGGAGGACAAAAACACGTCCCTGCATTAATATGACTTTATAAAACCTACCATTACTGTTTTGTTTATTGAAAACATGCAAAATGAGTACCTCTAAAAGTGTCTTATATGTCAAAGGACAGTGATAGAAATCATTTGTGAAGATCTCACTCACTGAAGATGCTCACCAACAGAGCATTTAGTTATATCATCAGGCTAAATGCTGTCAGAAAAAAATTCAGCTGAAATTCCATTTAAATTGAAGAACACAATTTCTTAATGTGGTTCCATCCGAAAAGAGAAGTTATGCCCATTTAAATTACAAATTCTGGTTTCAGTAAGTCAGATGAAGAACCCAAAGTCATTTAGAAAGATAACAGACAAATAAAGCACAGGCATCCAGTGTTTGAGGTCCCCACTCTTCACCTCTCTTCCCCCATTGTAATACACTCCCACTGCAACAACAGCTGGAGTATTTCCTTTTTATCCAAATTTAAAATATGTTCTTGTAACCAGCAAAGTGTGATTTAATATACTTCTATTCAGCATAATACTAGTTTCTATTAATATGCTGAAGTGTCCTAACTTTACAATATTTCATTACAGATACAGCTTCAGATTCGCCCACATGAGCTAAATTAAACCATTCTTCAAGTTCAGGCACATTGTAAGATCCAAGAAAGAGCCAGCAGGAGGAGGGGGAAGATGCTGACAATTAAAAATTCTGTCTGAGCAAATCATCATTAATTATGCTATTGAAGGCTTGAAGATTTATCAGCAGAACTCTGTAGTGAGAAATGTCAGTTTTTAAAAACAACAAGCCCTGTGGTATGTCTCTGACTTTTCTAATTTCTTGGGACACTTCAGATAAAAGACGGATCTGATCAAATTAATCTATTTTTCTTTTCAGTGATCTGACTTACATTAAAATAGACTTTCCAAACAAAAATGGAGATTTGTCTTTTGCCACAATGTCACCAGGAAAGAACACATGGAGGAAGGACAAGGAGAAAAATCAGGTGTAAATGAGATCACAATGTAAAGTTTGGGAACAGAGCACGGCAGAGTTGTGTGTAAAGACAATTTCACACTGCCCCATAATCATGGTCCTGCATTGATGGCACACTCCTTGGGGGGAGAAGGAATTAAGTCAAGTCAAGAGAACTTCAGCAAAAGCACTTCAAGGCAGATAAGCTTCCTAGACTGACATTTGGTAAACAGCATTTTAAGATGAGTTTTGCAAATGGAAGAGGGCAGTTGGCTCTCCTCAAACAAAGGGAGAGCCACAGAAAGCCCCAAGGGAGGAACTGCAGGTGGGAGATGCCAATATTTTTGCTGCGATGGCAAAACAACGGCAGGGAGATAACCTCGCAAGCAGCAACAGAGCAAGCAGAAGGAAGGCCTGTGCTGGAGAGAGGGGCTGGTAAAGTGAAAGGGCAACAGCTCCTGGTCCAAACCTTCCAATGCTCTGCCTATAGAACAGGCTGTTGCCATCTCTGCTGCCAGGCCAAGTGGAGCAGGGCCCAGGGCAGGGCCTGGGGCAGCACACACAGACACACACAGCCCCACAGGGGCCTCTGTCCCCATCGTGTGCCTGAGATTCTGGGGACGCTTGTGCTCCAGTGACAACCTGACCAGTGCAGTCCACCCATCCTAGTCCTTGCTCTGAAAATGGTGACTTCTTACAACAGGAAAACGAAATAGGGGAACAACAACAGCACACTGCAGCTCTACCCATCCAGAAACTCGAAGCATATACTGGGATCTCTGTACATACTTGGGGCTCGGATCCACACACCACCAAACTCCCCGGTGTTTCAGGAAGGGCTAATTAAAGCGTTTCCTAGCGCAGCGCTGACGAGCAGCAGGCACACAGTCCGTTCACCTGTCAGAAGGGCCCCTCCCGTGCCTGCATTCCTGCAAGGCCCCGGGTCACGCCCCGACCCGCCCCTTCCCAGAATCGTGCCCACAGGCGGCGCCCGCAGGAATCGAAACTGGAGCCCCTGGGCGCGTACCCGCGAACCGCGCGACCCTCCGCGCCACCGAGCTCCGCACTCGCCCCGCCCCCGATGCCTCGGCAAATCGGGAAAGAGCGCGCACCGGCCGCGCGGTGACGTCACGTGCCCAGCCCCTCCCCTGCGCCCTCCGCCCG